GTAAGCGCGCCTGTCTGCCTGCAGGCTGGGCTATGTGCAGAACAGTGGTAAAGTAGGGGCAGGGGAGGCGAGGGGAAGGACTGCAGGCGCAGGAGCAAGAGCGAAAGAAAGTCCAGCCCAGTCTGCGGAGTCATTGCGCACGCTGTGCGAGGGCGGGCCAGGCGGCGGAGGGGCGGGCGGAGTGCGCCCCTTCTTGCTTCTCCCCGGATCCAGGAGGAAGGTGAGGGACAGAGGGAGGGGGAGAGGGAGGACTTTCCTTCACCCTTCCTCCTCCTTTCATCCCTCCTCCCTCCTCGCCTCCTCCTCCGCCCTTTTCCTTTTCCATTTCCTTCCCCATGCATTCCTTTTGAAACCTCTGAGGAAGACCTTTGATTGGCCCCCCCTGTCGTCAGAGTGAGGGGTCGAACGGTCTTACACAGTCCTTGGGTGCGTGGTTGATGTGGGGTCCGGCGGTGCGTATTCTTGTTGTTGCGCTGCCGTCATCGCCGCGCGCCTCTCCTCCTCCTCCTCCTCCTCCTCCTCCCTCCTCCTCCTCCTCCTCCCCCTCTCCTCCTCCTCTCCTCTCCTCCTCCTCCTCCTCCTCCTCCTCTCCTCCTCCTCTCCTCCTCCTACTACTCCCCCTCCTCCTCTCCTCCTCCTCCTCCCTCCTCCTCCACTCCTCCTCCTCCTCCTCCCCCTCCTCCTCCCACTCATTCTCCTCCTCCTCCTTCTCCTCCTCCTCCTCCTCACTTCTCCTCTTGCCCTATGTAATCTTGAACATGCTTCGTACAGGCAGCAGCGATGCAAAAATCCTTAGAGTCAGAATCGAGCAACCAGTGCTGACGTAAACTCTCCTCCTGTTCCTCCTCCTCCTCCCCCTCCTGTTCCTCCTCCTCCTCCTCGTTCTCCTCCTCGTTGTCCTCCTCCTCCTCCTTCTCCTCCTCCTCATCGTCGCCTTCATTGTAGCGGATTCGCGCGGGGTCTTTGTTTCCGTGGCGCCGTCCAGAACCCTCCTTTGCTTACGTTAGTTCGGGTCGGTCTTGGGTAGCGCTGGAGTAATCTTAAGAGTTTTTCTCGGATTCGCTTCGTCGGTTACCACACCTCGAGACTAATGCAAAGCAAGTTTTCAAGTGGTCGCATCGTACCACCGAAATCAGGAGCACTTGTTGTTGACCCCCCAGGAAATAGGAACCCCAGGTAAATCATTGCCCTCACCATCACCATCGTCGAAATGGTCGTCATTGTCATCGTCATCGTCGTCATCATCCTCGCCATTGTATCATGCGGCCATAGACTACGAAGTTGGTTTGAGTATGGGCTCCGTGTTTGGGGCTTTTTTTTTAAATTATGGTGGTTCGTGGTCTTGGTCTATATTTGGGCATTTCGAGACGTAAGCACAGATGGGATCAAGAAGCGCGACCCCCGAATTGAGATACGCCCCAGAACAAGGAAACCATTTTCGAAACACTATCGTACTATAAGGATTCAGGCCATGATTGGTGACGACAATGATGATGACGATGACGATGGCTATCATGATGACGATGGTGGTGATGATGATTATGATGATGCTGATGATGATGACGATGATGTACCAGGTGTTCATAATTCTGGGGGGGTCGAACACACGTGCTCCTGAGCACAACGGACAGTTGTTTTCCGTGGTAATTTGCGACCCGTTACAACTTGTTTGTAGTACCTCGTAATGCGAGTAACGATGAAGCGAAGCCGATCATGCCTGTTCAGCTGAGCAGAGCCGTAGCCATTTTGCCCCCATCTAAACGAAGCGGGGGCGAGTTGTGGATGACCAGAAAAAGAGAGGAATACCTTGCGCGAGCCCCGCTACAAGGAGGATGTTGATGATTATGATGATGGTGCTGATGCTGCTGCTGATGATGCTGATGATGCTGATGATGATGATGCTGATGATGATGATGATGATGATGATGATGATGATGATGATGATGATGATGCTGATGGGGGTGAGGAGAATGCGGAGGAGGAGGAGGCGGAGGAGGAGCAGTAGGAACATAAGGGGGTTTCATGTCAGCGCGATGCGATGAGTTGATTCGAGGTTTTTCCGAGACACTACAAGGAGCAGAGAGCAAGGTGAGGAGGAGGAGGAGGAAATTGTTGCGAGGAAAGATGTCCGTGACACGGGGGGCGGATCACAAGCGGGCCGCGGGCAGGTCGAGGGCGGGTCGCGGTGCGACAACGACAACGCAACAACCAGAATCCGTATCGCAGGCCCCCATTTCAGCCGCGCACCCAGAGACTGTGAGAGACCGTTCGGCCCCAGCATTTGGATTACATCATGAGTGTTGGCGCGCTCCCATCAGATTCGAGCGCTTGCCCGCTGGGGCTAAGGGAGGCCGAGTGTATCAAACCCCATGCGACGTGCCTGTCGGCGATGGGTGGCGCGCTGAAGTCCTGGGCCGCTTTGGTTCGCATGGCTTCGATCCGTGCTCCCCAAGGGGCGGGGTGATAGGTCGTTTCAGATAATTGCGTTTCGAACGAAGTCTAGGGATCTCAAGTGTATAGTATTAGGCGTCTGTATTCGGCGCGCGCCGACTGATCCACGTCCAATGCATTGCGCGCGCAGACATGTCTTTGTACATGTGTGCTACACAGTCACACCCACATGCAAACGCAATGCGGTGCTGACGCAATGCCGCAAAAGCGTTGGTTCGTTGATTTAGCATCAACGCGCCTGAGACGCATCGATGAGGAACGCAGCGAGGTCGCCCCGAACCGGAATCGATGCCGGAGTCGGCAGGGGATGCCGAGGCCCGCGGAGAATCGGCGGGGGATGGCGAGACCCGCGGGGAAAGACAACCTCCTGAGTTACTACGAGGACCGGCGCGAGATCATTTTCTCACTCGCCACGGGCGCCGCGGGAGCGTTTCCGTCGCGCCGAGATCCGCGAGGAGGAGCGGGGCATGCCGGCCTGCGAGTTCGAGGGCGAGGTGGACTGCGACACCGTGGGCGCTGTCGGCACATTCGGCACCTCGTGGGACAGGCCATGCGGCGCCGCACTACGGGCGGGTTGGGGGGCAACCAGAAAATGTACCTCCGCCGACGCCCTGGAGGCGATCGGTGCGTGGAAACGACGGCGACTGGCGGCGCTCCTCTCGCTCGTCTTACTCGGCGTCTTCGGTTCCTTGGCGCAGAGGCTCGAGGCGCGAGGAGGGCCTCGGGGTGGACTGGATCGGCCTCCGCTGCGATGGCACCCAGTGCGCCACGGGCCTTTCCCAAGCGAGGGCGGCCTGGGCAGCAGCCCGCTGCAGGGAGAGAGTCGAACGCGGCGCCGCTTACGTGGCGCCGAGCTGGCGTCGGGTTTGAGGCGCCTGTGCTTCGCGGCGGTGGCCCCGGCATGGGAAAAGCCGCTGCTGTGGCGGATGCCGGCCTGGTTCGCTAGCGTTGCAAGGAAAGTCAAAAAGCGGGCCCCCCACTTCCGTGGGCGACAATGCCCGTGCTGACGTGGGTCAGCAGGCGGCTGGCGAGCAAAGACTGGAGTCCCCGTCAAGTTCAGAACCGAGAGCGCCGGGCGCTTCCGCTCGGATGCTGACGCGGAAGGAGGGCGCTGCTGGACAGGCGGCTGGGAGGCGCCGCCGAACGGAAGAGCGCGAGGGGCTCGCTGGCACGCGCTCGAAGTAGATGCGGAATCTTTCCCTTGGGCGTGGGCCGCGGCAGAAGACCTGAACAGGGTCATCGCGGCGCTCGAGCTCCCAGGCGCGATCCTCTGCGTGAAACTGCTTGCGACTCCCGGGGGGCGCCGCCAGAGGGCGAAGCTCCTGGTGGCGGGGTCGACGGACAACGTGGGGAACGCCTGCGGGGCGGGCAGGGCCACATCGACCACGTGGCCGTTGACAGTCCTCCTCGTCGGGCCTTCGGAGGAGCTGAGGTCGCGCAAGATGGCGCTTCTACCGCGCGAGGAGAACCGAGGGGCGGGCGATCTCAGCAACATGAAGACGTCGGGCCTCGACGCGTCCCTCAGGATCTACGCGGCGGCCGCGGGCCTGGAGTGGCACGTGCTCGACGAGATTGCGCAGGCCCCCCATGAACGGCACGAGTCGATCGTCGAGGAGAGGGCGGCCGCCAAGGGCAGGGCGCCCGCGGCAGGGCGCGGCCAAAGGGGCCGCGGGCGCGCGCGCCTAGCGCCGCGGTGATAGCATCGCCCAGCGCGTCGTTTACGACGTCGCGCGGGCGGAGCTGGAGGCGGCAGCAGCGGCGCGCGGGGCCCCGCGCGACCTCTCAGGGCGGGGGCCCAGCGCGGGGTCCTGTGGCGGTGGTCTTGAACCCCCACCTTCCGGTGGGTGCCGCCACGGGGCGGGCGCCCCCCCACCTGGCTTCGAGGCCCGCGCCCATGTTCCCTTTGCGCGGCGCGGTGCGGCGCGGGGGTGGCGGCGCCTGCGCGACAGCGCGAGGAGGGCGCGGTGCGGCTGGCGGACCTCGACGCCGGCGGCGTCCAGTGGGGGGGGGCCAAGGGCCAAGCCCTCCGCACCCCTGGGCGTCCGTCCCCTTCCTCATTTGTGACCCACTCCCAGCGCTGAAGGGGGTGCATCAATTTCATGGCAGTGGCTCGGGCCCCTGCGCTACATGGCCCCCGTTTCCGCCACTTTCAAAAGAGGCATAAACGTCACACGCGTCCCCATGTTTACCATCATCGCATCGCTTGCAGGGCCATTCGAAGATGCGACCTCTTGTGTCAACACAAACGTGTATCCTCTCACTCTGTCCGGTGCCTGTGGCAATTTGGGCTCGGGAGTGAACAGCCCGGCTATCACGCTGGGGCATCCAGTTTCTGGGAGCGCGTCGGGCCCGTACGCTAGAGGACCCCCGTTTCCGCCACCCGGAAAACAGGCATCAACCTCACCCGCCTTTTCTTGTACCTCCGCCGCGCCGCTTGTAGGGCCATTCGAGGATACACACTCGACCAATAGAATTTATAGATGCGCTGCTCAGGGGTAAGATCACTTACCTAGCCACGCCGCGCGCCCTGAGGAAGCACGCGGGGCGCGATGGGCCTGCTCGGCGCATTGATCAGGGGCCGCGGTGGCCGCCGACGTCGGGGCCGCGGCAACGGAGGCCGCTTGCCGTTGTTGCCGCTCGCCCCCCTTCTTCCATTGTTGCCCCCCTGTCGCGATGCCGACAGATGCTCTTCCCCCTCGTCCTTCTTGGTGCTCGCTGGCTGCGCAGGTGCTGCTGCTGCTGCTGCTGCTGCTGCCTGCTGCCGCTGCTGCTGCTGCCGCTGCTGCTGCTGCTGCTGCTGCTGCTGCCCTTCCGTGGAGAGCGCCCGCGGGGGGGTGGTCGCAGCTGCTGTCGTGTCGCGTCGGTGGTGGGCCCCCCCTCGCACGCCGGCAGGGGCAGCTTGCCTGGCCAGCGCCGCCGCCGAGTGGGTCGCGCGCCCGCTCGCCGCGCACAAGCGCGACGACGGCCTCGAGGACGCGGAGCGCAGAGGGCGGCGGCCCCTCGTGAGCACTGGCGGCGCGCCGAAGGGGGAAGGGAGAGAGGGCAGGCCCTATATCAGAAGGCGGCGCGGCTTCGGAGAACGCTCGGAAGACCTCTCCGATGTCCGAGGCTTTCTGGGCCGAATGATTTCAACAAAAAAAAAAAACAAAAAAAAACCGAAGGATTGCAAAAAAAAGGATTGCAAAAAAAGGTTTTTTTTTTTTTGCAATCCTTCGTTCAAGTGGAGGCCCGCTCTCTTTGCCTAACCCCGTTGGGCGCGCCGCCGCAAGCAGATGTCACGTGGCCAGCTTGTGCGCCTTTCGGCGGGCCCCGCAGTGTTCTCGGGGGCTTTCGGATGGCCCACCCTGGCATCCCCGCGCCGTGATGTGAACATTACCGGAGGATGTTGTTCACGGTCGGCCTCCCAGGGCCCTCATTTTCCCCAGGGACAGTCGACAATGGGCTCTGGACGAATTGGGGAAGACCCCAGCAAACCAGCAAGCCGATCGGGCTCGCTGCTGTTCCCATGGCCCCTGGCAGCCCCGCCTCCCTTCCTCGCCCCCCTGCGAGGACGAGGGCGCGGAGGGCACGAGCAGCACGGGGCGCTGCGCAAACGGCATCGTTTTGAAGGAGCTGCATAGTTGACCGATCGCCCTCTGCGGAAGCTGGCGGAAAGCACGCGGAAGCCAGCGGAATACAACAGGGGCGGCTCCACGGGCGGACGTACAAGTTGGGTCATGAGATATTCCAGCTCTGGCGTTCTCAGGGTTTGCGGAATCGGCTGTTCGCAACCGAGGCCCGAGGTCTTCTTTCATTCATTCACTCCCACTGCTAATTCGCCTTCTTAGTTCAGATTCGCAATTCAAAGGAAAGTTCTCATCCTCCTGCTTCTGCTCCTGCTCCTTCTTGTCGCTCTATTCCTGACGTCTGCCCTGCTCCTGGTGATATTCTCCCTTGTGTCATCGCTTTTGCTCATGCCGCTTCTGCTGCTGCTGCTGCTAGCCCCCCCTTTCGGTAGAACCGGCGATTATCGAAGGGCGCCTCTCTTCCGGAGTCGGGCCAGACCTGTCGACGTGCGGCCCTACTGGAATCGGGCTTTTGGCACCGCTGGGCGTGAGCCTGGCCACGGCCCGTGCCGATCAAGCATGTTCGAACGCTTCGTTGCTCACACGCGTGCGTGCGCGCCTGTCCAGCTGGGCAAACTGGTTAGCACTCCCCGTGCACCGAAGCTCCTTCCCCAGCTTGAAGGCGCCGTTCTCTGTGTGCACCGTCTCGCGTGGCGCTCGCCCGTGCTGCGCGCGTGGCCTGGCTGCCCCCCCCCCCCAGCTGCGCAGGGCCTCACCGCATCGGCATGCAAGAGTTGCGCCCCGAGCCGCAGCTTCCCGAAGGGAGGGTGGGACTCAGTGCAGGCCCCTTGGCTTCGGGGAACCCGCCTGCACTTCATACTCGCCTGCCCGCGGGCGAGTTCTGCATGGCAGTCGCCCTCCGGCGGAGCACCCTCGGCAGTGAAGAAGGACGATATCACAGACGATGCTGCCCGAGCCGCGGCCAGACGGAAGGTTTGTACATCTGTGTACGCCTGGGGGTACAGCCACGCGTCGAAATGGCTCCTGAGGGCCCGCACGTGTGGATGCATTCGGACCCATTCCGCGGGGTACATGCCAGCACACACAACTGCCATGAAGAAAGCCGCCACCAACCAGAGTAGGTGGACGCCTGGAAGCCCACATGGGAAATCAGCAGCACGAGCACAGAGTCACTGGGATTGGACATGTTCGAGCAGCTTCTTGATGCGAGCCTCCTGGTTGCGAGGGACCGATTCGTCCGCCATGTGCTTGCCGTAGAATGCAGGGATCAACTTTGCGAATGCAGGCTCGGTCATCTTCTTGACGATGGTGTTCTGCACCGTTGCAACCTTCTTGTCCGTCATCTTGACCTTATGCCAGCCTCATGCTGGAGCTCCGCCTCCAACCACATCTTCTGCACTGCGGAGATCGGTCCCGTCGGCGGCAGCAATGGCCGAGCTCGCGGCGCCGTGGCCCGTGCCCGTAGCTTCGTTGCCAGCGCCCGTGCCACCCTTGCCAACGATCCGCTTCAGCTTGGTGTCCAAGGCCTTCAGGAAGAACTCGCCCTGCTTGCCTCACTTGTCTTCTTCGGCTTGCTGGCGAAGCGCATCTTCTGCCGCGCGGTATGTCAGGTCCTTCGTACTCCCGTTGCTCCCGGGACCCCTCCGTACCTGGACGTCGAGGGGGTGGTGATCCATCGTGAGGGCCGCGAGATGGTAGCACCGTCCGCCGGAGTCCTCACGATCTTGGTAATCATCCCGTCCGCGGCGGCTTCCCAAGAATCGTATCCACAGTGCTTCTGGCTGTACCCGTGCTACTGCTGCTCGCGGTCCTGCTGGCAACGACCATTGCGGCGGTCATCGTGACTGCTCCGGCGCGTCCGCTCCCTTGTCGCTCGGTCTTCCCCATGGCCGAACGGAAGAAGCGGCAGCCGAGCCGGACACCCCGAGCCACAGGGCCAGGAGGAAGACTGTGAACCAGAACACGGAGAAGCGACGTGGGGTGAGACACAAAGGGACAGCTCCAGCAAGATGTCCGTAACCCATGGGAACAGCTCCGGCAAGGAACAGCTCCGGCAAGGAACAGCTCCAGCAAGGAACAGCTCCAGCAAGGAACAGCTCCGGCAAGGAACAGCTCCAGCAAGGAACAGCTCCAGCAAGGAACAGCTCCGGCAAGAAACAGCTCCAGCAAGGAACAGCTCCAGCAAGATGTCCGTAACCCATGGAACGGCCACGTCGCCAGGAGCTTGGAGCTCCCTGCTTGTCCTGGTTTCTCTGCACGGCCGTGGCCCGGAGGGCCCCGAAGAAACCCCCCGAGGGGCATGCCGGGCCAGGAAAGAAGAGTGCGGGCCGGCCGCGAGGGCCACGCCCATTGCAGCCACGCATGCTGCTTCGTGTTGCCCCTGCTCCCGATCCTCCCACCTCTTCTGCCTCCTCCTCCTCCTCCTCGTCTTCCTCCTCCTCCTCCTCCTCCTCCTCCTCCTCCTCCTCCTCCTCCTCCTCCTCCTCCTCCTCCTCCTCCCCCTCCCCCTCGTCTTCCTCCTCCTCCTCCTCCTCCTCCTCCTGTCGTTGCTGGTGCTGCCAGCACCACTGCTCCTTTCCCATTGCTGTCGTTTTTCGGTCGCTGCTGCTGGCAGTGTTCGTCTTGGTGGTCCTCCTCTCCAGCTGCTTGCTGGTGGTCATCCTCCTGCGTCTCTCCTTCCATGTTGTCGCCGCCGCTGCTGCTCATCCACGTTCTCCAGCCGCTGCTGCTCGGTCGGGGAGCGCGCGGCCCCCTTCATCAGGCACATCTCGGTCGCAGCCAGGTGCGCGCCAGCTTTCGTGTACCTGCTCGCCCGGCCAGACGTGGGCGATCGGAGTCAGGGTTGTGTGGACGCTTCAACGCGGTTCCGCATTGGCTAGTCCTAGAGCCTAGACGAGGAAGCTATTTGTATTTTGAGAGGGTGCCTGGAGATCCGATTCATTGGGTTCAGAATGGCTTGCAATGAGAGCACCCATCGCTCCCCGACCCTGCATCCATGGAGCCCCTGGTTTGCAGTGTCTGAGCTTCTTTCTTGGGGCCTCTTTTGACGGAAGTCCCACTGCAGCAGTTCCCCAATGACGGCCAGGTCACTTTGCTCAGCGTGCCGCGGTGGTTCTGGCCCACCACGCGTCGGCGCGACACGCTAACCACGCTCCAGTCCCCGGGCGTCAACGTCCCGAGCTTTCCCAAGCCTCCCGTCCCGCGAAGCGGTGCGCAACGCTATCCGCATGCAGCGGTGCAACACATTCGGGACACGGATCGGGAGCACAGCAGTACCACCTCATAGGAGGAGGAGGAGGAGGAGGAGGATGAGGAAGAAGAGGGAGGAGGAAGAGGGAGGAGGAGGAGGAGGAAGAGGAAGGGGCTGCTGCAGCGAGATGCCAAGCAGAGGTTCCGCACCTTCTCCGCTCGCAGCCTGTTGCCCGGCCCCCCGACCGCCTCTGCCTCACGGCTTCGCCCTGCTCACGGCCTGTTGCCCCCCCCTCCTCCTCCCTTCCCCCTCCTCCTCCTCCTCCTCCTCCTCCCTCCTCCTCCTCCTCCTCCTCCTCCTCCTCCTCCTCCTCCTCCTCCTCCTCCTCCTCGCCTCTGCCTCACGGCTCCGCCCTCCCTTTCCTTGGAGCTTCTCCTGCTCCGCCCTGCTCACGGCCTGGTGGAGGTGGTCGTGGGGGGGGTGCGGCTCTCCTGCCTCATGCTGCTGCCGCTGCCTCGGGGTGCTGCTGCTGCTGCTTCCCCAGGAGGGCCTGGAGCGTTCGAGGACGCGGGAGGGGGCTGGTGATGGTAACGATGATTGTGGTGGTGGTGATGATGATGAAGATTAAGATGATGAAGATTAAGATGATGCTGATGATGATGATGATGATGATGATGATGATGATGATGATGATGATGATGATGGTGGTGATGATGATGATGATGATGGTGATGGTGATGGTGATGATGATGCTGATGATGATGATGATGATGATGATGATCAAGATTAAGATGATGATGATGATGATGATGGTGATGATGATGATGCTGATGATTATGTGGATGATGATGTTGATGATGACTGCGGTGGTGGCAGTGATGATGATGAGTATGCTGTTCGTGAGGATAGTGGTGCTGGCAATTCTGATGAAGTTGACGCTGAAGATGAATTAGAACATTAAGCTCGATATGCATATCATATGGTTGGCGATGATGGTGATGCTGATGGTGATGCTGATGCGGCTGCTGATGCTGATGAGGATGTGAATGGTCATAATGAGGCTTCTCATGACGGTCATGATGATGATGATGACGATGACGATGCTGATGCTGATGATAATGACGATGTTGATGGTGATGATGATGCTGATGATGATTATGATGGTGATGATGATGCTGATGATGCTGATAGGGATAATGATGATGTGGATGATGCTGATGATGATGGTGATGATGATGCTGATGGTGATGGTACTTGTGAGGATTGTGATGGTGATGTAAGTGATGATGATGAAGAGGATGAGGACAAGGACGATGATGATGAAGATGATGCTGATGAGGATGTTGCTGAGGATGGCGAGGTAGAGGTTGAGGATGACGAGGACAATGACGAGGATGATGATGCTATGATGTTGTTGATGATGATGCTGATGATCATGATGCTGCTGGTGACGATGACCATGACCATGCTGATGGGGTTGATGGTGAGGATGATTATGCTGCTGTTGCGGATGCTGATGATGATGTTGAGATGACGAGGATGAGGATGATAAGGATGCTGACAAGGATGAGGAGGCGGATGAGGAGGTTGTTGGTGATGGCTGCTGTTTCTGCTGCTGATGGTGATGACGAGGAGGATGAGGATGAGTAGCACGAAGAGTCTCCCTCCTCCTCCTCCTGTTTCTCCTCCTCCCCCTTTTTTGCGCCGAGGCTGTTGTGGTTCCGCCTGTGCAGATCTGAGCCTTCTCCCACTGGCCATTGATCGGCGGCCAGAATCGCTGCTCCAATCGCCACCTCGGGCGGCCAGCCCGATGCCCGCATACATGGGGCCTGGTCCCGCGCGCAGCCCCGTGGCTCACGCGCTGCCCCTGTTGTCTTGCGATGATGAGGTCGTGCCCTTTGCCATTCCACGTCACCTTCTCCTCACCTTCGTTCCCGCCCACCGTCTTTCCCTTCCATATCCTCCTTCTTCACCATCCCCATCCATCATCATCATCACCACCATCATCATCATAATCAGCAGCAGCAGCATCCTCATTACCATCATCGTCATCATCATCAGCACCATCATCATCATCAGCATCATCATCATCATCATCATCATCATCATCATCATCATCATCATCAAATCATCATCAATTTCATCCTCTTCTTCTCATTGTCCCTCACCCTCCACCTTCGCCCTTCCTTCTTCTCCTGCTGCTCCTTCTCCTCATCCACCCTCGCACCTCCTCTTCCATCCTCCCTGTCCTCGCCGAGGTCCACGTCGGCCCAGTCCCCGGGTCGTTGCCGCAGACGCGCCTCGCCCAGGGAGTGTCCACGGGCGCCCAGGCGGTCCCCCCGCAGCACGCCGTGTGCGCGTGGGATCCGGAGCTTCCCGCGGGCAGCATCGGCCACGCGCAGGGGATGTGCACCCCTTAGGCGGCCTGAGGCGTGCGACGCGTGCCTGGCAGGCCAGCTTGGTGTCAGTGATCAGGTCTGGGGCGTGCATCGGTTTTGCATGTCCTCCAGCGGGATGCCAATGGCACTGAGCAGGGGTTTCAGCTTCACGGCATCGGATAATTTGTTTCTTCCCGCCCTTTCTCCTGCCTTTTCCTGTCTTCCCCCTCCTCTGTCTCTATTTTTTTTTTTTTTTTTGTTCTCTCTCTCTCTCTCTCTCTCTGCGTCCTGCTACCACAAGTGGTCGGCAGATTTGGCCCCCTCCGCCCCCCCCGTGGCCGCCCTCTCGTGACTCGCAGCCGCCTCGTGGCGGGTCCGCGCCGACTTCGAGCTGGTGGCCCGTGGCCCAGTGGTCCTCTTTCGGCCTGTGCCACCCGCCCGCTTCCCCTCCCACGCACTGGGGGCGCCTCTGGGCGCCTTGGGAACGTGGAGGGGGGAAAGACGCCAGACCACGTCATTTGGGGGGGAGTGCGCGAGTGCGAAGTCAAACATAGATGCATGTGGACCTCCACGTCCGATGTGTGCGACGTTTTTTACTATGTTAGTTCTGCCATGCGTTGCTCTGATTTCCCCCACGGGTTGGCTCGTCTCCTTGGCTTGGCACAGCTCAAGCACTTGCCCGGTCGATGATCGGGAGAGTTCGTCAGACCAATTTCGAATGATGTCCGACCAGGATGAGAGTTTATCATCGTTATTCGGGGGAGCGCCCGAACGATCAGCAGGGCGACCTGGATCTGCCGAACAGTGCTGGACCAGGTCAGGGCTGGGCTGGGCCATGTGTCAGCCTTGAATGGGAGGGCGAGCCACAGGTGCAAGCCGTGCTTGTTCTTCTCGCAGGCGCAGTGCCGGAAGGAG